ACCTCCTTCTCATTAAAGCCATGGCCGTTGAACCATTTCAATGCTGGAACCCATTGTCACCGGGTGTTTTCATGCCACCTCCTTTTCTAGTCTATTCAACATGTCCCGTGGCCTCTCAATCAGGAAACAAATTGAAACCCAAATCATCTCTTAAACCTAAGTATCTACAAAGTCCATGGCTTGGCATCAGTTTTGGTCTTCGATTGTCAAATCCCAACTCGACTTCCAAAATCGTCGCCCGATCCCTTCCACCGTAGTGTTTAAACTCCCAAGTCTGACGATCGTGTTGTTTTCGTGGATGCTCAAGGCCTAAGACACCAACTTTGTCAAGGTCGATCAAGCCCAAATTGAGTTTGATCTCATCTAGGTAAGTTTTTGCTCTTTTTTTCCCCCTTAATCTATTTCAATTTATTGCATTTTATTGATTTCTTACCCAGCTTCTATCGTAAGGTTGGTTTTGATGTTCTCTGGATTTATGTTATGTGCTGTTGTTTTGACTTCAGTATAATGTTGATTTGTTCAGCTTATCTTTTCTTTTGGTACATCTAAATAATACCTGTGTATCTTCCTTGGTTATCTTACTTTTTCCTATTTGGGGAATGCATTTCACTATTTATTGTCTGCTATATTTCCAAAATTTATTGTCTGCTGCATATTAATAAAACTATTGATTTGCCTATTCTGTTATTAAAAGCCTCACTTAAGGCGTCACTTTTGTCTTATATTTCTAATGCACTGAAAATTTACATTCACCTGCTGATTTCAAATTATGCCAATTTTATTTTCCTAATTCTTCTTCATAATCTATCTAATAAATACTGGTCATTTGAAGAGTCTCTTCTATATGCATATATAATGTTATACCAGTCTCTCTTTTTAGTAATACAGAAGGCATACATATCCTAATGGCAAATATGTTTGATTTTATTAAAAATCTTAATCATTCTAAAGAGCAATGAAGGATAAAAGTTAGAGTAATTAGGCTTTGAAAGCAGAAACATTTTTGGTAGCCAAAACTGGTTGATAATATTAAAATGTTTTTTTTGGACGAACAGGTAAGTATTGAAATGTCTTCTGTAAATTTTTTTTTTTTTTTTTTTACCAACTTTGTGATTCTTTATGCATTCATAATTACAAAGATTTTTGGATTATTGAAATTTAATCGCAAAATTACAAGTGATGGTGGGGAAATTACAACAATCGATCTCCTTTTTGGCATTTGGTCTACGGAAAAGATAAAGATCCCATATGCTTGGCATCTTATCTATTTTTATTATTCTTTTATGTTTTTTATTTACAAAACATTTCGGTCTTATTAACTCTGTATATTTACATACGAAGATGATGAATGTGTCAAAGGAATTAACATTGTATTGAGTAATGATATGTTTGAAGGTAGCATTCTTTGTTTTAGAATTCCTCTATCTCTAATTTCACATATTAGACTTCCTTTGTGTTTATGGTTTTATCTTTAGATTATAACTCAAGAAATTATTCTGTAGGTTACTTCAGTTCAGTCAAAGATTCAATCTTTACATTTGACAATTCGAGCTTCTTATTCTACTGATGATAAGAATAGGGTGTATAACTAGCTTGGTTTGTCTTCCTTGCCTTTTTCTTTATCTCTCCATTTTCATGTACTTGGGTTTATCATGCTTTCTTGGTACTATAGTTCAAAATGGGTGTTTAAGTTTTGAATTGATCTGGGATTTCAGATGCTAATGAGCACCAACTGTTTGAGTTAATGTCACAAAATTATCTTTACTGAAGAAATGAGAGTGCAAACTAGAGAGATGTCTAAATGTTGGCATTTAATTTTGTAGCACCTTGGATGTTACGTTTTAGAGAAACTGAAATTTGCTACATTGTAATTTTCTAATTCTCAAGGAACATTTGGTGTTTTTAATGTAATGTATTTCCCAGCTCCCATTGTTGAGACTTCAAACTTACCTAGAGGATCAGAGTTTTCAAATCAAAGCTGAGGAGTTAGTGATTTGTTTTAAGATATTGTGTTTTCAAAATTATTGTTCTTGAGAATAAGTTACGAGTTTTAACAAACTCTTTTGCAGCTGTTGTTTATCTTTTCAAATCTCTTACATCTTTATTGTCCTTTCTCACTTGAAATTGGATTATATTAATTCAAATGGTTTACGTTTGTTTTCATTGAAAAGATTGAAGATGTAATTCTCTATGTAGAGATGTTAGCACCAACTACCCTGGAATTTGAAGCTAGACAAATCACATAAAAGGAATGATCTGTGCTTATAATCTATGGGATGATCCTGCTAAATCCAATGAAATTCATGTCAAGTTAGCTGGTAGTGCCAAAGTGGTTAATGCTCTCAAGGACCTAAAATACAAGGTATTTATTTATTTTTATTTTTATTTTTTTTAGATTAGTTTTAGTTGAGCTTTCTTATAACATTTGCTGATTTTATTTCATAGAAACGAGCACATGGAGTCTTGACTTGTATTGGGTTTGTAGGCTAGAGTAGCATGACAGAGGTTTGACTTATAGCTTTCAGGGCATGGCATCATTTGCTAAGATAATTGAGATTTTAGAAAGGTTCAGTGTTCTTTGGTTTAACTAGATGATACCCACATGAATAGTTGTATCTGTGTATCACCTTTGTTTTAATTTGTTAGAATCTAAATACACTTCTAAATACATATTAGTTGTACCATTATAATATTCAGTTCATAACAAAGTTAGAGACAAAGGGATTCTTCAGTATGATTCAATTCATTACTCTTGATTGAGTTTATATGAGAAATCAAGAGCTTTGCCTATTGAGTCCGATTAGTTTATAACAAAATGGTCAAATGCGTCTTTGACATCTTTGTAATTTTGGGTTTGTTCTGGCAATGGTTGGTGGTAAAAGGGTCTGTCTAGCTTTTAGCTTTTTTAATGTTACAAAATTACTTCACGCAAAATGATTAATTGGTTTTAGCTTTGATGCTTCCAAGTTTCCATTTTTTCAGCAATTATTTTACTTTCTTCATCAATTTGTTACATGGTTTGTAAAGAAATGGTGAAGCTATCGTGAAGCTATCATGGTATGAAAGTGCCATCTTATGTAGCATCATTAGTTTAACATGAAGAAATCCCCAAAGATTAACCCTTGAGATATGCATAAGCTTAGGCTTTAGCTTTCTGCTTATACAATTATTATCTCATGCACAAGACAAATTAATTAATTATAATTGTTCTTGAATGATTTTCACTCTATCCTAACAATTCATATATGGGATGGACTTTTTTAAAAAAAATTTAATTGTAAGATTTGATATGTAATAAGGTTCCTTCTCCATTTTTTGTAACGATTGCTCTAAAAGAATGCAAATTTGTGTAGACATGCAAGAAGTTAACAAATCAAATTGGTTGGTAGAGAGCTCTTAGTTATAATTGTCATTGATATAAAGCTATGGGTGATGCATGCTGAAGTTGCCGAAAAGTTTGTATGTTGCTACAATCAAATAATACTTGCTGGTGATACTGCTCATTGACTCCCTTGTGCTTGTGGTTTTGGTTAGTAACTCTATTTTTCTGAGCAGAAAACATTCTGATTATTTAAAATTTTCCTTATCTTCTAATCAATAGTTTGTAACTGAATTTTCTTGGATGCACGTAAACCTATGGGTTTACCATTTTACCTTGCCTCTATTTATTTCCTTCTCCTTTGTGGGTATCATGGAGACAACAAAATGCAACATGTAAAATGCAATACATAATTACATATGTTAAAGGTGGCTAGAATTGGGAATGTGTTTACAAGTATAGATTGGATAATGACAAGAAATGCTTCTTTAAATTTTGAATTAGTATAAAGAAATATATTAAACAAAGTTTACTTGCTATTAATTATATTCTACCTACTTAACTATATTTGAGCTTTGCTACAGGCTTCATAACTTTTGTTATCAGTTTAATTGCTAGGCTTCACTGGCCTAATTATGGGTGAACTTCATTACAATATACTTTTGAGATATTGATTTAGTTT